CATAAAAGTGTTCCTCCATTCAAACACAAAGAAAGTAAAAAACAGACCACATGTGATTTTTAAAATGCATTCACTCAGTAAACTTTTGTTTTCCTGAAAAAAAAAGACACAAACGGTCATAATTTGTAAAGTGTGTCCACATATTTTTACCATTAGGGCAAAATGTATATACGTAAAATAGGGAGGCAGGTATTTTTTTACATGTGTGTAAGCTTTTTATGGCATAAGTCATCATTTGTATGGTACTAATCATTTAACGACAGGAAAACACACTATCTAATCTATACCACGCAAACTACAATTTTTTTCCATGCCTTAAGGAACTTACAATGTTTCACTTTCATAAACCACATACCCCGTATAACAGCCGATTTATGCTTATAACGAACACCCTATTAATACGAAAACAACCTTCTAAATCAGCACATCTCTCTGAGTTGATGTCTGTAGCTTTCCACATATGCCATATACAGAAGACTTTATTGTAGCATTTCTCATCTTTTATTTCACAATAAACACTCAAGGTTAAATTTTTCCGAAGTTATATTATTTAAGAAATATAGGCTGCAAAGTAATTTCCTTCTCTGAACATATATGCAAGTCTATTACTAAAAAAATAATAACAATAAAGTGATTTGATAAAATCCCAACCAGAAAAGTGCTTAATATTCTATGGAACGAAAGCAGAGTTGCTGGGTTCAACTTTCAAACTGAGCTAAATTTCTGTCGTAATCATGTTATTTTCTTTGGCTAAATTTATTGAAAATGCTTTGGAATTTGTCAGAACCCAGCCATGATTATTACTAACTGTTGTATGGAATCGATTTACTACAACACAAAAATACCAGCTGTTACAGTATGTCCTGAGAGGGATTACCGAATATTCTAAAATTGAAGTTCAATCCATCTTTCCATAAAAAAAAGAGAGCGACCCAAATGCTGGGAATGTAACTGTGGTATCAAGTGCACCTGAAGCATTTACAATACCCAACAGAATTATTACAACCGTCCTCTAAAAGGGCTTATTTTTGAAATTTCATTATTCCAGTTGTACCTTGCTTCTATATATCACACTGTATCAGGTTCTTCTGGCGTCGATCATGTGGAAACAGTGAAATACGTGAAGGTCTCGAGCTTACAATGTTCAGTTTCCACACACCCTGGGTAACCCTCAGGGCTCCCAGGACGCTTGTGACACCTAGTGGCCAAACCACGGAAGTGAGGGTGTTGGTGGCAGAAAGTATTTTTGAGCTTCCCATAAAGCAAAAATGCCTCAATTGCACCCAGTGAAACAGTAATCTGCAAAAACTTTTATTAATAGGCACACACACACACACACACACACACACACATTCCTCCTGTGTGTCTCCTCCAGTCTCCATACTTCACTACAACACTACTTCACTTCTCACCCCAAATGTGGTTTTCCACCAGTCAACCAATTCTGTGACACCTGCTCAGAGTCCTACAATTTAACTCAATTCTGACCCTATCTCATGGGGGGAGCATCAGAGCCCACAGGTTAAGAGTTCAGTCCTACAACACTGCCCCGACTTCTGATGTCAACTGTAAATCCAGGCTGTCACCAGGGCTTCTCTGATGGAGTGACTATAACTTGGCGGCTCCCACAATTCCCTCATGCTCGATTAATTTGCCAGAGTGGCTCACAGAACTCAGGAAAACATTTACGTATTAGATTACTGGTTAATTGTAAAGTGACATAATGAGGACTCACCAGATGGAAGAGATGCAGACTGAGGAAGGGGCAGAGAGCGACCACGTCCTCTCCAGAGGCAACATCCATGTGTTCCCCAATCTGGAAGCTCTCTAAACTCTACGCTTTGAGGTTCGTTATGGAGGCTTCATAACACAGGCATGACTGATTAAATCAGTGGCCACTGGCAACTGAACTCAATCTCCAGGCCCTCGTCCCTCCCAGGAGGTCAGGGTGGGACTGAAAATTCCAACCCTCCACTCACCCCCAGCAACCAGACCCCCATCTTTAAGGGCTTTCCAACACTTAACCTCATTAAGGTAAACAAAGGTATGGCTTAGAGTAGTTAGGAATAATGGAAGCCACCTTTATCAATCTCTCTTATCACTTAGGAAAAATTCCAGGGGTTTTAGAAGGAGAAAGGGTTACACAGAACACCAAATATATATTTCTTATTATAAATCACAATACTTCACACACAAAGTTAATGCAGACAAAGAAGAAAATCAAGTACTGGACCTAATTTCCCCAATGCGTGTCCTCTCTATTTGAAGGAGTATCCAAGAACAGGAAAACTTTTAACTAACCATCATCATAAATAAATAAACATATTAACATCCCATTGTTTCAAGACACAAGAACTGG